AGAGAGAGAGAGAGAGAGAGAGAAAGAAAGAAAGAAAGAAAGAAAGAAAGAAAGAAAGAAAGAAAGAAAGAAAGAAAGAAAGAAAGAAAGGTGGGAGATCTCATGAAAATCAAAGGGAGATCAACTGAGTAGAGGGATGGGAGATGGATACTGGGAATGGTATGGGCCAAATTATATTGTTATATTGCTTTCATGTACAGATATATAAAAACAAATCCCACCATTATGTAAAATTGTAATACACCAATAAAAATATGTAAAAAAGGGGCTGGGACTGTAGCTCAGTGGTAGAGCATTTGCCTAGCATGTGTGAGGCACTGGGTTCGATTCTCAGCACCACATAAAAATAAATGAATAAAGGTCCATCAATGTCTAAAACAAACTAAAAATTTTAAAAAATATATATGTAAAAAAATCCAACAGCTTCATGAGCTATTGGTTCAGAATTTATTCACTGGAGGAAGTCTTTTTATTTTTCTTTTATATCAGAGGATAATTACTTAAAATGACCAAACTACATTTGTTAGCATGTCTTGAGTGCTGACCAAAAAACAAATATTAAAAACAAGTTCTAACACAGGAGACAGAAGACACCCTGGCTCATCAGAAGTAATATCTAGAAATAGCCTCATCACTATAAAAAAATGGAAATAAATGAAAGAAATAGTAACAATAAACAAACATCATTCATGATGCAAAAAATAATAAGAAGAAGAAGTTCTAAACTGGGCACCATGACACACGCCTGTAATCCCAGTTAACTGGGAGGCCAACACAGGAGGATTGCAAATTCGAGGCCAGCCTCAGTAATTTAGCAAGATCCTGTCTGGAGGGGGAAAAAAGAAAAAAGGTGGAGGGAGGAAGCTGTGGGTATGGCTCAGTGGTAGAGCATCCCTGGGTTCAATTTCCAGTACCACAAAAACAGACAAAAGGAAAAAAAAAAAAAGACATAGTATGACCTCTACTTGGGTGGTTGTGGTAAGAGACACTACAATTATCACTAGCTTCACCTGGATTTTCTTATTTTTAAAAATTATCTGTACTGTTTTAAAGGACTGCCAATAGTCCCAGAAAGTTTATTCTTAATCAACTATTGAATATTACTGACTCATAACTTCGTTGGCTCATACAGTGACAGCAGCTGGCTGGTCAGAGAATGGCTCCTGTGCTTGTAAAAATGTTAATATAGAAATGATAAAAATGTGGTCTCACAAATGTCACAAACACCCCCTGTTTAGGCAGTCGCATTACTATGTGGTATTTACTTTGACACCACAAAAGGAAGAGGGGAGTCCACTTCACGTGCTTCCGTCTTCACCCAGGGTCTTCCCAGTGGTATCTAAACATGTTTGTATTTGGGCTGCTAAAAAACATCTTTTAGGTCAAGCATATGAGGTCATGGTAAAATCAGATCTAACAAAAAAGTGTCTTTAATTTTATTTTCAAGTGTTGTTTTTTAAGGACGATCATAAGAAATAGGAGCAGAAATCGGGTTTTACATAATAGTCTGAGTTGTACTGGAAATGGAACCACTCAGCCCTGGTATCATGTTATAGAGTAAAACATTTGTTCATTGCGCCTTTGTTTTCTTGCTCAGAACACTTTTAGATGGACAATGATGGCCCTATCCTCTGTCCTTCATGTTGCTATTTTTGTAACTTTTAATTTTGATGTAATTTCAAACTTCAGAAAAGTAACAAAACTCAATTGTTCACACTTTGCTCTACCTGCTTGATCATCATTTCTCTCTCTCACTCACAGACCACCCCCCCCCCTTTTTAAAGAGAAGCAAAAAACTTTAATGGCTAATAACACCATCAAGGATGGCATTGAGGTCAGAGAGAACAGGTCTTTGAATTTAGGTGAGGCAGGTTAGGAGTTCTTTGCAGACACCGTTTTGAAATTTAAATGTTGGGGCTGGGGATGTGGCTCAAGCGGTAGCGGGCTCCCCTGGCATGCGTGCGGCCCGGGTTCGATCCTTAGCACCACATACCAACAAAGATGTTGTGTCCGCGAGAACTAAAAAAATAAATATAAAAAATTATCTCTCTCTCTCCTCTCTCACTCTCTTTAAAAAAAAAAAAAGAAAATTAAATGTCAACATAAGAGAGGATGCTTTTTTCTTAGGAAGACAAGAATTATTATGGGGGATATTCCATCCAAGGATGTCACAGAAACTGAAGAGTTCCATTTTTTCCTTTGCCCTTTCTCTCCCCTCTTCCTTGAGAACAGTGAAACAGCTACTTCTTACCATTTAAAAGGAATCAAACACTTGCAGATGTATAACTTCTCAATCATCATATAATTGTCAAGAGAACATCTGCCCCCAAGAGGCAAGAGCTATGCTCAGAGAATGGAATCTGGTGCTCCCAGCACTCAGTAAACCCCAGCTCTGAAGTTTTTCATACCTTTCACAAGTTACCCAACATCTTAGGGCCTGCCTCTTTAAAAAAATCACAATTATGGGCTAGGGATATAGCTCAGTTGGTAGAGTGCTTGCCTCAAATGCACAAGGCCATGTGTTCAACCCCCAGCACCACAAAACAAAACAAAAAACCCCACAACTATAAGCTGGCACAGTAGTTCATGTAACCCCAGCGACTTGGGAGGTTGAGACAGGAGGATTTCGAGTTCAAAGCCAGCATCAGCAAAAAGTGAGGCACTAAGTATCAGAGAGACCCTGTCTCTAAATAAAACACAAAATAGGGCTGGGGATGTGGCTCAGTGGGTGAGTGTCCCTGAGTCCAATCTCCAGTACCAAAAAAACAACACTCCCTACCCCCCAAAAAACCCCATAATTACCTTCCTTCCAAAGATGGTTCAACTTAAGTATGCAAAAGAATTATATGAAAATAAAGAATTAGAGTCACTATGCAGTGTACCAACTGGCATTTTTACTTTCACTGACTAGACAGGTTTTTTTGAAGCCAACAGTGACATTTGGAATAGGAAAAACACGTTAGTAACAAATGAAGACTGCATATTGACACCTGGGCTTCATCTTTTTTGAGTTCAGAAGGCTCTAGCCTCTTAAAAGGCACATAATTTGGCCAAATTACTGACCATCATTTCCAGCTGTCTTGAAGGGAGTTTCTTACCAGTCCTTATAAAACCTCAGACACCACACACGTGGTGCTTGCACAGAGCATGTATAAAAGTCGACAGCAGAGCAAGGTCTATCCAGTAGTCTTAGGTTGAACAACTGTAAAACACCTCATTTCTGTTTAGTTATGAGGGGGCACTTGATCCTCAAATTAAGAGTATGGTCCCGCGCACCCCACACAATGATAGCAGGTTCCTATAATAGCAGGTTCCTCATGAAATTCACTTTCTAGATTTGTTCACTAAAGTCATTCATTCATCCTTGTATTTAAATGTCACTATTGATGGTTCCTGGGGAAAGCAACTGACATATATTCCACTGGGGTGGGGGGCCTTAAAGAAAATATAGCCACAGTGATAAGAATATTTCCAAATTCCATTTTTTATTTCCTTGCTTTCTTTGGTGGTGGTTTATGTGTAAATAATTTGTGATTTAGCATGTTGCTGATTACCTGCTTTCATTCTGAGAACAATGGAAAGAGTGCTGGCTTCAGGATTCAAGACACCAGAGTTTTAGTCCAGCCATCCAGCTGGGTGTGACCTGGGAACCTGGTCCTCACCTGGAACATGAGGGAAGTTTAGGGATGCTTCATAATGAGGAGCTGATGTTCAGAACAGCCCAATCCCTGACTCATAACTCCGTGATGATTGATAAACTTTCTATAGGTTTTTTTTTCCCCTGATTTCATGTTTGATTTCTGTTACTTTGGTCTTTTAACTAGGCTTTCCCTTTTCCAATAACCTCTGAACACTTTTTTAGTTTGTCATTTTCAGTATTCTGTAAAGAAACTAATCTTTGAGAAAGTGTGTCTCAAAGTACTTAGTGAGCACACTGTGGATGAGGGCATAACCATTCCTCCTATAAACACAAAAGTCACTGGTCAAATGAGATATCACTTGGTTTGAGATATTATTCAAACTAAAAAAGCAGCTTTATTACTTTGGCATGCTATTTCGATTATCTGGGGATCACTGTATTTCCTACTGGTCTGTATGCTGCATCCACAATAACTAAGGTTTATTATTTTGACTAACTTTGACATAACACATAAATGAGTACTTTTTTCCTCCAGAAAGCTTAGTAAGAAGCACAATATTTGGAGGTCCAGAGGCAGTGAAGAGTGAACACAATCACTACAAATATATTCTTCCAAAGCAGCAGCAATAAATGGCAATGGTATCTGAGTCAGATTTTCAGAAATTACACATGTCAGACTTTGGACTTGATGGTATATGAGTGAAAGATATTTCTACCCTTGAAGAAGATTAACATGATAAGAAAAGGATCTTGGGAGAGGTCAAAGCCTCTCTAAGGAAGCTTAAACATGTTAACTTTGGGAGGGAAAGTAAAAAGAACTAATAGAAAAGGGGGAAATTGAGTCAATATAATTTTGAGTAATAGAAGACTTGAAAGATGATGTACTTATTGGTACTATGATACTACAGTGATATCCCTGTAGGGTATATTATATGGTGTACCTATAAATTCCACAGGGCAACTGGGAAGCTGAAGGAGGATTTGAGGGAATTTGGGAGAGTAAGTTCAATCAGATACAGATTGAGGTTATAACTGTATATCAGTTGTGGTATGGTTCCTATTATTTATTCATCACTTTCTTGGATCAAGTCACCAAATTAAATCAAAATCATGCAACTGTTATTCAGTAATTTTCAGTGCTGGTCATGGAATATGAAGTCTAAGGTCTAACTTCCAATATTTTTTCCCAGAGACATTTCTCTCTATGTGAAAACTATCATGATATTATAAGGTCTTTATAAAAAAAAGTCTTTCTTGTGTGAACATACCCAAGTACATGAGAAATCCTTTGGTCACTAAAAACCAGAAAAGATACTGATTTGTGAAGTCAATTGGGCTAACATTCCCTAGGTGTCCCCTGCTGCTAAGTGCCATCCTGTGAGTCACAAGCAGTTTTAAGAACTCCTTTGTTAAAACTGCTTGTTAACAAGGCCTTCCTGCATAGAAGATGTAGATCACAGGTTCTCCATTCAAAAACTACTAGTTCTTTCAGGTTAAATATGTAGGTGAATCAAATTTAAATAGAGACAAATTTGGCAGTACAAACATATAACACTTCCTTTATATAAAGTTCCTTGTTTGTGATGTCCTTAACTTAAAATTAAATAAATCCAGAACTATGGAAACTATTGCAATTAAGATCTGAATTGCATGGTAAAAGGACACTGCACTGTAATTTTCTTAAAGTTTTCACACACCCTAAGTACACTCCATGACTTATTGTGTGCTAGAGACGAAATTCATTGCCAACAGAATCCAACTCTATTTCAGTTATATTGAAAAATAAAAGCATAATGAAGTTATCTATCAGAAAAGATTGCTTATAAATCATTCCTTAATTAAAAGTGCTTCATACCAGCAATAACCCTTTGGTATTTTCTGCATTTTCCAGGTAAATCTCCACCCAGCTTGCACATTTTCCGACAGCTGAGTGGGCTGTCATGTACCACCCAGTTGCCAAAACACTATCCATTTTTCCAAGAGGAAATGTGGAACTCAAAAGCATTCTAATTTCATGCACAATACATTCCACGACAGAAAGGCAGACTGCTTAACAAAAGGAGGAAACATGATGACAAAGCAGGGTCCTTTGCCAAGCGACGATTTTGGGGTCAGGTTATTTGGCTGTAAACTGGTACATAAAGATAGGATCCAAAATGCATCTGCTGCAGCATGAGGCCTACCACTCCAGGCACTGTCCTAACGAGTTCATTATTTTCCATAATGGGTGTGTGTGTGTGTGTGTGTGTGTGCAGATATTTTCTCAAAACTGTGTTCCCGTCAGTCTCCTATTGATTTTTTTTTTTAAATTTCTATTTCCAACGGCAGCCCAAGGAAACGGCAGCCAGACTTGACTCCAATGTACACAGAGACTCGGGTTTCACCCCGTCACCTGTTGGCTCCTGAACAACACTCCTCTTTGTGAAACTCACAGCACTCATTTGAAACAAGTTTCCAGAGAAAACACTTCAATAAAGTGTTTGAGAAGTCACAAGACTCGAGTTGTAAAAACAAACTCCACACACAGCCTGGTTTATACAGACACCGATGAACGTGAAACCCGGAGCCTTTTAAAAGCCTTGAAAACGGACCCGAGGAGAGCACGAGGGAAGGGATGTCACCCTTCTTCGCGGAAAATTCGGCGGGCCAATTCTTAAGAGCTGCGAGTGCGGGCTGTCGGGGACTCCCTGGGGTCAACCCACCCAAGCAACCAGAAAAGGGACACACCTAAAAGAAGGCGTCCCGGTCCCCTGCGCCTCGAGACCTGGCACGGCGCGCGGCAGCGGCGGCTCAGGCCGCGAGGGGGCGCCCAGGGCCGTGAGTCGGACCGGGTTCCCTGCCCTCGACCGTGTGGCCGATCGTGGGGAGCCCGAGGTCGAAGTAGAGCCCCGGCGGCAGGGAGCGAACCCCTTGAAGTCGCCGACGCGAAGCCCCCAGAACAGCCCCAAGGTTCCCGAGGATAGAATAGTTGCTCCGAACTCCCGATTCCCACCTCCAGCAGAAAGCACCTCTCAACGCAGCACCGCCACCTCTGCAGAAGAGCACTAGTTCCGCAGCCCGCTACCGCACCGAGTGGCTGCGGGGCCCCACGACCCCCCCCAGCTTCCGCAGAGAAGCCCCCTCCCTGCAGGCGCGAGCCGAAGCGCACCTCCCAGCCCTCCGGCGTTGAGCCCCTGTCGCCTGTTGCCATCCAGCCCCACACCTAGACAGCGGCTCCCCACCTGCAGTCTCGGGCAGACGAGCCGAGCACGGCCTGCAGCCCTCGTCGCGGCCCACGAACCTGCCAAGCCCCGCGGCGCGCACTCCCGCCGCTCACTGCTCTGCGGCTGGCTGCCCGGCGCGGTTAGCTCCCGGAGGAAAGAAAAAGGTTTGGATGTCCCCCACGTCACCCTGGCCCACCCATTTCCGGAAGAGACCCTAGCAGAGCAGAGACTGAGAAGCAAGGTAGCCAGCGTAGGGTCCCCACTAAGTCGTTGCCGGCCGCACCCCTGGGGTCGTGGCGCAGAGCTGGCCCCGCCTGGCAAGCGAGGGGTCGCTCCCGCCCCGCCGTGACGCACTTTCCACCCCCACTCCCGGCCTGTCCTGATCGACCACCTTTCGATGCACCGCAGTGATTCTCACCCACGACAGCTCCCTAACCAGCCGTGGGGGTCCCGGCAAAAGATCCTTCAGCTCCGTGACAACCCTCTGTCCCCTCTGGCTTTGCAATCTCTGCTCCCTGGTGTTTGAGTTGCTTCGTCCAGGCCACCGCACCCCCCACGCCCCAGCTCTGCGAATCTCCGGGATCCTCCACCACCGAGAGAAAAAACCGTCTCCACTCAGCGACAGGAGCCCGCCTGGGGCCCGCGAGCTTCAGAAGTAACCAGAGCCCGCAGTGGAAAAAAAAAAAAAAGTAACCATTTCGCTTCCTGCAGATCCCACCCTCAGCGGAGCGCCACAGTCTGGCCGCCTGGCTCGCGATCCTAGCCCGGCTGGGCTCTGGGCTCCCGACCGCAGGAGGCGCCTGCCCTGCCAGATCTCCACGCTGCCCGCTTTCCAGGAACTGTCACTGCTGACCATGCCCCTGGCAGGTGTCCACGAGGTCCCGCGCGCTATTCCTCGAAAAGTTACCCACCCACTTGGCCAGCTTCACGGCTTGAGCACCTACCTCCATCCGCCTGCTCCATTCCCCAGAGCCTTAGTGATGGGAGCCTCTGCGATTCAGATACCCCAGGAAGCTTATGTAAACTTCCCCCTCCCGCAGGTGCACACAAGGCCACTAAGGCGAGAGAATATGCAAGGCTACCACTCTACCCATAACAATGTCAGCTCCACGCTACCCATAACAATGTCAGCAAATGGTAAGTTTAACCAAGTTCTCACTAGGAAGGGCTCATTAACATATGAATTCTCTCCTTCAGACTTCCTTGCATTTAGGAGTGATTCCTGTTGCTTAGAGCAGGAGATTTATTTTTATCAGTAAATAACAGCAAAAGAGAAGGCGTTAGGTCAAGCAATGTACTTAAGTGCTAGCAAGAGTTACAAACAAATTGGGTGAATATCCTTAAAACATAAGAAAATGCCCCACATTTAAGGCTAATCTTGCTTCTAAGCTATTTATAGGTACACTAAATGGAACTTCAGTTGTCTACAGAAAGGATTTTAAAAAAGCAAAATCAGGACTGCCAAGCAAGCCCAGAAAGAAATTATAGATTAATAACAGCAGCAGAGGTCTGAGTCTCTATCAAACTACAAATTTTAGTTTTATCAATTGCCACCTATCTCCAGGTGATAACATGCCAAGAGAAGGAGGAGGTAAAGCACATTATTTAAGAGCTGCACCAGTTTCTAGTAGGCTAGTAAATAAAAAGCAACTTCAAAATAGTCACCGTTCCTTTGTGGTCTTCTGTTTGTTTTGGTTTGGTTTCTTGAAATAGGGTCTCAATAAATTGCTTAGGCTAGCCTCAAACTTTCCATCCTCCTGCATAAGTCTCCAAGATAGGTGGGATTACAGGCGTCCAAAGTTGAGCACAAACTTTTTCTTTTTTTCTTTTCTTTTCTTTTCTTTCTTTCTTCTTTTTTTTTTTTTGTTTAAATCCTGTATCATCAGAATTCCTTGGGAGTAATTTGCAACATATATATTTCTATAGTATACAATGAACAATAGCCTATTCTAACGTGATTTTAAAATATACAGGTTGGGGCTGGGGCTGGGGCTCAGCAGTAGCACACTTGTCTGGCATGCGTGAAGCACTGGGTTCAATTCTCAGCACCATGTATAAATAAATAAAGGTCTATCAACATCTAAAAAAAATTTAAAAATACACAAGTTGCCATAAATAAATCAGCCAAATAAACAATTCTGTTATCGAATTCTGTTATCTCTGCTGCAAAACAAAGCAGCTGAGCAGAAGTGGATTTGTGTGTGTGTGTGTGTGTGTGTGTGTTACTTTTTTAAAGTGGCAGGGTCCAAAATTTGGGGTTTTGCTGTTAGATTAGTTTGGACACACTGACTCAGAAAACACAATTTGTAATTCAAATAAATCAGCTAAATGGATTCAGTTTTCAAGAAGATTCTCCAAACATTCTAACGTAGAACTCCTCTGGCCTAAGGGCACAGGGATTTGTGGGAAGACTTCAAAGGTTACCACTTTCCCCTGTGGATCTGTGAAATTAACCATGAATACCTGGGTCAGATTTCCTTTTCTCTACTTCATTCTGTTTGGACTTCCACAGGAATGACTTTAACTCACAGTATCTGTAGAATAAATGTGCAATGATTTATTGATTCAACCAGGCCCTAAATTATCATTTCATTCAGATACAGGGAGTATCTATCTGTAGGTGAATGCATCCAGCCAGGCTGACCCTTTTTGAAATAGTTCAGAAGGAGAGCTTCCCATTAGTTGAGGCCACAAAATTAGAGGGTAAGTTTCCTCCAAGACAGTTATTTTCAACAGGTACTGTCAACTTTATTGTCTATTGTGTTTTTACTGATAAAGCAGTTTGGAGACAGTTAAAAGCTTCCTACTAACTCTCAATTTGAATGAAACAGAATTTGGTCTGGTCTGAAAGGCACTGCTATTGTCAAGAGTGAATTATGCAGAATATGGAGCAAGGCCCTCCAACCAGCATCCTTTTGTTTCAGCAAGGTGAATAGTCATTGCTTAAAGAGCACACTTGAGTTGGGTAAGAAAGAAACCCCAGAAATTCTCAGGGTTTAGTTTCCTCTATTCTGATCTGCTATACTGTCACCTCCACAGAAAGTCCTTGTCCAGTCCTCTAACCCAAAATACCACCCCTCCCTTCATTTGCAATGTACATCTTCTCAGCATTTGTCATTGCCTGGGGTCACATGTCTATCTATTCATTGGTTTGCTGTTTTCTTCCGTGAGAGTTGGGGATCTTTTGGGATTTGCTACTATATTCTAATCATTCCGACACACAGCAAGAGATGCAACAAACATGAGTTAAATGAATGAATGATTCTCACACATCATTCTTTCTAGGTCCTCTCAGGTATACCATATCTTTACAAATATCTCCATTTCTAATGTAAAACCATGCTGAACTACATTGTCTTAATAGGAAAGATTATAATAGAAAACCAAAAACATGCCAGGGAGCAAAGAAATAAATAGGTAGTATTCTGTTTGTCAAATGCCTGTCAGCTATATTTTAAGTCTGGCAGAAAAGAATAAAAAATAAATAATAATAAAAAAATAATAAATAATTTATTAAATTTATTATTTATAAAAAATAAAATAAAAATAAAATAAAATAAATAATAAAAAAGCATACAGCAAATCTTGGTGCTAATCCTTGGTTCTCCAGTGATTTTCTTTTCTTCTTCTTTTTAAAAAATATTTATTTTATTTTATTTTTTATTTTTATGTGGTGCTGAGGATCAAACCCAGTGTCTCTCACATGCAAGGCAACCGCTCTACCACTGAGATCCAACCCCAGTTCTCCAGTGACTTTCACATAGTGACCTTGAGGTCTTTTCTGTCTTTTCTTCCTTTGTAAAACAGACCTCCTTCTTAGTTTTAAGGCTAAAACTCTTGGTCTTGGTCTCAGATATTTGAAAGGATTTATAACCAAATGTCATTAATCTAGGATGATGACATTAGAAGCCTTTAGGTTTCTTAACAGAAAAGAGAGATCAAGGGCTCCAATATTCATTATGACATCTCACTGAATTCAATTTGAGACACAGTTGACAATGACATTAAGTATGGCTTTAGTTTTGATCTGCATTGGGGACATTATTTAGGATAGCAGTTAGTTTGTGATGACAAGATACAGATAGGTAACTAAAAGAAACATAAAATGATGCAACTGTAGAATTAAAAACAATTCTTGGGAATCCTTCGGGAACTGAGATCCGGAGGGATCATTTTAATAATTCTTCATGTTTGTCCCCCAAATTAGTTATCACTGCAAGTTTGTGCAACATGTCTTACTTTCTGGTCAATTTTAAACATTTCTATTGTAGCTCAGATCGGACAGTATACCTTGGTGGGTCACTGAACATTTGTAAATTTTAGTTACCATTAGTTGAGTCCTTAGCCTCTCCAGGAAAAGGCCCCAAGGCAGATATCAAGCTCTTCCTAGAGCCAACAGGCATTATGGAGCTTTATAATAGGTTGCAGTTTTCCTAGGTCTCCAATTACTTTCTTTCCCCTTTGATTATATTTAAAGCAATGTGATTAGAGAGCACTGGTTCTTTAACATTTTCTACACCCAATCCCTTTAGAGTTACTCCTCCAGTCCTCTCCCCTCCCCCACCTCCTTTGTGAATGAGGTAAATACCCTGATGCTTGGGGTTTGGAGTTAGGAGACTAAATGCCTATTTTCTGTCAATTACTAGGTCTGACGTTGGGGTAAATCACTTCTCTAAGGTGTTAGTTTTTTTTTGTTGTTGTTGCTTTTCCACCTCTTAAAATACTAGAGTTTCAGTTAGACAGTGTTCAGA